GCTCAGACTGATTTCATGTTTTGTTTTGATAATATCTAACTAAGCAAATTTATTTTGTTCTTTAATATGAGTTGCTAGACGTGTTTCTTTACAGTTAAAAATGTTTTTAGTCATATTGGGATAATTAATTAAGTAGCCTGCTTTGCTTGGTGTGTAGAGGGATCAGTTTTCAGACAGATCAGTAAATAGTATTTTTCAAATACCTTGAGACAGGTGTGCCTTGTTTGATGTGGCTGAGGTCAAGGTGACCTACAGACAGCTGATAGTCAAGGCAATGTGTCATATTAATGTTAAGGCCTGTAACTTGCAAGGTGTTGACTTGTTTCGCCTTTCGTGCTCGGATAACACAATTTTCACCGTTTTCAAACAGAACATGCTGAGGTATATTTTTATGTGTTTTTTTCACCTGTTTGTCTTTGGTTTTGTGTCGTCGGAGACGTTTGTTTGTGTTTCTGTGACTCTGCTATTTTTCATTGATTAAAGAAAGGTATTACGAATATAAAGGTATGAACACATTCTACAATCACCTGAAGTTATTTTCTGAGGAAAATACATGGATTTTGTGGCGCCCACCCAATGTCATAGTCAACATTTCAACATGTCTTTTAAGAGGAAAACTTACAACCCAGCTATCAACTGGAACTACAGTAAGGAATTCTCTAACTTTTCCAATAGAATAGAAAATTCCTTGACCCTTTTGGTCCGTTTGCGCTATCAAGGAAGCTATGTGAGTGATGTTGAGATCACACCTGTAAATTTCACAACATCAAAGAACTTCATGTACAGGTGGGTAGCCCAGGTGAGATGAGAGATACCTGGCGTACCTGTTCAGGCGAAATTCGTCAATGCCACAGGTTACCCACCCTGTCCAAACTCTGTTTGTAAGCCTCCAGACGTAGATTGATAGGAAAGATCTGAAGTGTGTTTTGCTTGGTAAACTTTCATTACTGTTTTATTTCCTGGGATAGGTGGGTAAGGTACGAGTTTCATTGTAGTTGTGATTGTGATTTTGATCAGGATCTTTGATGTTGAGGATTCAGCGCAACATGTTATGGAGGAGGTAAGTGTTATCGGTACATAGTGGATACAAATTCATGAACATTTTACATGAAGTTTCCGTTTGATCTTGGACATTGAACTTTTACTAAAATACTAAAATATACCTTTCAAGTACCTTCTTGAAAATAAGCATTGTTAATATAAATAATAAAACCATATGCAAAGCCTATTACAAACAATTTTTACAGAATTGATTGATTCTGGTGAACTGATTTTCGACTGGATAAACTACATGGGCAGATCCGGGGGGTGGGGGTGGTTCAGGGGGTTTTGACCCCCCTGAAAATCACTTAAGACCACATTGAAGTGTTTTTTTGCGTTGAAGGAGCCAAGTGGGGGTTCAGATCCCCCCCTTTCAAAATTTCTGGATCCGCCCATGAACTATATGAATATAGCAGGTGTTCTTTAACTAATTTTGGAATAATGTCATCTGGTTTTCAGTTCTTTTTGGAGAATCTGTGACAGTGGGATGTAGTTTCAATTCATGACAGATTTACCATTGTCATTCAAAGAAATCTTATTTTGACGTGTATGTAAATTGCAGGCTTAGTCGTCTTAATAAAGCTGCCCGGATATCGTTCCATGATGAAGTGGTCATGTCAAGAATTGTGTCTAGCTGTTAACACTGAAAGCAATGCTGAACATCGCAAGGATATTCAGTGCCAAGAATAACAATAATGATCCATAATTCATCGTTAAATTGTGTTATTTTCGTCAAACATTAACCAACGTATGGAAACCACATGGTTAATGTTTGCAATCAATGCCCTGGGTGAAAACTTGGAATATTTGTTTGAGATGAATGTAATTAAATTAGGTACCAGACAGAATAATTTGTTGTTGTGGTTGGCATGCCATCATGATGGAGTTGGAGTGGTGCATGGTTGACGGTAGGCAGGTTGACAGTAAGCACGTTACAGTTTCAAGAAATCACAATTTCAGACATGAGTGACAGTGAGTGAGTGAGTTAACTTTACGCCGCACTCAGCAATATTCCACCTATATGGCAGCGGTCTGTAAATAATAGAGTCTGGACCAGACAATCCCCTGATCAACATCATGAACATCTATCTTCGCAGTTGGTAGACAATGACATGTGTCAACCCAGTCAGCGAGCCTGACCACCCGATCCCATTAGTTGCCTTTTACTACAAGCATGGGTTACTGAAGGCCAATATTCTAACCCGGACCTTCATGGGTCACATGAGTGACAGGGCCTCCATGATTGTTTTGTTTATTGGGCAATATTTATCTCTTCATCTGGATCTAACAATCCAGTGATTGATATAATGAGTAGTCATCCATTCCATCGTGGTAAGCTTACTGATACCTGAACATGTCACCAGTGCTATGTCATCACTTACAACCAGCGTAGGTCAAGATGTCAACCTCCATCTCTAAGCACCTCATAAATATTGTATAGTCTGTTTCTAATTCTAGATCTAGTCTGTTTCCATGGCAACATGAAACTGCATAGTCACTCATAGTTGTTAATAATTTTGAAGCATTAGAAGCGTATTGAAGTGTCCAATGCGATATCTACGAGGTTACCTCCCTTGGTACACTTAGTGTCACATTGAATTGTCATAGCTTAATCCTTTCTAATCCCTGAAAGGCTTCCTGTGGCAGAGTATGTGCCTTTATGTTAAAGCTTTAGCTTAAGCTATCTGTAACCTCTGAATGCGGTAGCACATCGTCCAGTGCACACTGGTCACAAATGAGGACAAATGTTGCTGGAATAACTGGTCGGGGGACCATGTTCGGCAGCTTGGCTGTTGAGTGAGTGAGTGAGTTTAGTTTTACGCCTCACTCAGCAATATTCCAGTTATATGGCAGCTTGGTTATTGAGAGTTCTAGAGCACACTGAACATGTTAATATGGTGTCTCCTTAACCAAGATGTTCAAAATATGCCTATCTTCACCCAGCATTCAGTGGGTACCAGGAAGGATGAGAATGGTAATGTGACAGTTGAACTTAGTTCTTCATATGACAGTCTGTATTGTGCATTCCCCAAGGGGGTTGATAAAGAGTTCTGAGGGCACACTGTTCCAAATTACTAAGTGAGGCATAAAACCACTCCTCACTCACTCATATTAGTAATTTATGCACTGTATACACGCTATAAATCCCAACAAGGTCACATAGACAAAGCTAGTTACTGTAGATTCCCCACACACATCAAACTGATTTGATTTAATGTACAGAAAATCAATATTTTCCATTATGAAAAGAGGAGATGTAACTCTTTTAAGAAAATCAGTATTGGAAGATAGAAGGTCATAAAGAAACTTTACACTCTCATCGATAAGAGTCTAAGATTGCCTCTCTCTTTTTCTCTCTCTCTCTCTCTCTCTCTCTCTCTCTCTCTCTCTCTCTCTCTCTCTCTCTCTCTGTCTCTCTCTCTCTCTCTCTCTGTCTGTCTCTCTGTCTGTCTGTCTGTCTCTATGATATTAGTTTGAACTCTCCATTGCAAGATTGCTTGTGGAATTAATTCCAACAATCCGAAACCAATTGTCACAGCTTGTATTTCAGTATCATTGCTCACATTAAAAGTTCATTACAACATTGTATTGTGTGTATGAAGTCATGTTGAAATTTATGAATGTCTTTTAAAATATCTGTCTCAGATCAGTGAAACAACCTTCAAAACATCTGCATGCTTGCTTAAAATTTATAGTCATCATCCATGAGACGTTTAAGATAGAAAAAAATGTACTTTAGTCCTCTTTGAAGCTTTGTTTGCCCAGTAACACTGTTTGAGTTTAAAAAGTTCATAGGCTTCTCTCATAGAGAAATTAAATGGCTGTATGCTTAAGATGTTCAATTAGGCATTATGTTTTTGTTAAATTTCCACTTGAAGATGTGTGTTGTATTGTGCTTGACATAGTTAAGCAGCATATCCACCAGCTGCCAGAATGGTTGTGCGGCGAGTTTTCTGACTTGAAGACTCTTTGTGTAGGCATGCTTAGAGTCATTATATTCTTGAGATGGAAGGACCTTGCAGTACATCAAGAAATTTCACAAGAAATTATTTTTAGACAAAATATGAACAAGTCATTTAGCCGCCTTGAAGTTGCATTGTATACATTGTAATCTCAATTGAAAGGATTTTGAAGAATGAAAAATTTGACTGATTAAAGATCTCACATTGCTATTTTGTTGAAATTTAATGTACCTTACAGGAGAAAGAAAAATTGATGAATGAGGATGTTTTTCTGATAAAACTGTAATTTTGATTTATTGGAGTTTAATTATTAAACGCTTTGTCAGTCCATTTTTCGCCGATATTTTTATTGTGTTTGTCATCTGTCGCATTCCTTTCATAAGTTTGTGTTGTGTGGATTGGTGGGTTTGTTATTTTTCAATTTCGCCACCCAAATCTAAAATATGACATTAAGTTTTCCAGTACAAACCAGTGGACTTTATGCTACCGAGAATCATTTACCAGGTAGTCCTTAAATTATTTTGAGTTTATGTGTTCTGTGATTTCAGGTCTGGATGCCATCAATGACATCAGTGGTCAGACAATATTATGTACTCCTTTCCCTGATATATGTACTACTTTCTTGGCAGATTATTCTGTGATTTCAGATCTGGATACCGTCAGTTAGATCAGTGGTCAGACAATATTATGTACTACTTTCCTGACAGATTATTCTGTGATTTCAGATCTGGATACCATCAGTTAGATCAGTGGTCAGACAATGTTATGTACTACCTCCCTGACATATGTACTACTTTCCTGAGTATTTTGTTATTTCAGATCTGGATGTCATCAATTACATCAGCTGTCAGACAATATTATGTACTACTTTCCTGACAGACTATTCTGTGATTTCAGATCTGGATACCATCAGTTAGATCAGTGGTTAGACAATATTATGTATTCCTTTCCCTGACATATGTACTACTTTCCTGACAGATTATTCTATGATTTCAGATCTGGATGCCATCAATACCATGAAGATGGAGTTACACGGGGTGGAAGTGTGCCCGGCATGTCGGCTGCCGTTTGACACGGGCAAGAAGCGGAAACTTATCGATGCGTGTGGTCATGAGCGCTGCTACACCTGCATGTTCAACAGTGAAACCTGCCCTATATGTGCAGCCAATGGAAGTGAGTATAGTAGTATATAATGAGTTCTTGTTCAATACAGCAGGGAATACAGATGGCTTTGTCGATTAACCAAAGAAATTCATCTGTTTGATTGGCACTTCTTTATTATATATGATGCAACGTTTCTGTATAGATTCTTATACCGTTGTCTAGCACTCTTGCTATGGTATGTCAGAAACTTGTTATCATGGATTTGAATCTAATGTTTCGCTCACTCACTCACTCTGTAAAACCTCACCCCACCCCACCTACAATAAGCGTTGAAGCTGCTAATCATTATTTCCTGTCTATATTGCTGCTCATGCTATAAGGGGTGGTGGGGTAGTCTAGTGGTTCAAGTGTTCGCTCGTCACGCCCAAGACCCGGGTTCGATTCCTGACATAGATACAGTGTGTGAAGCCCATTTCTGGTGTCCCCTGCCATGATATTTCTGTAATATTGCTAAAAGCTGCATAAAACTAAACTCACTCACTCACTCACTCACTCATGCTATCATCCACCAATTTATCAACTCGATCATTTACAGACAGCAAGCTACGACTGGAATATTACTGACTGACATAATACAACATTCCCTCCCTCCTATGTTCTTTGTGGTGGAGACTTCAGGCACCTTTACCATGGAATAACATCTCATATGTAACATTGTTTCTGTGAACTTCTGTAAGGAAATACTGTAATTTCCGAAAACCATTAAAAACAAGAAGACGACTCTTCTCTATGTCTTCCTGTACATTCAAAAGCTTGAAAAAGAAAACAGGAAGAATGTGAAACAAAAACGTGAATAACCAATGTGAAAGCCATGTTGATACGCTGTGGGTGGCCCACTATTCACAACAATGGCCTGTTGTACTGAGAACTATAAACGGGTTGTGTAAAAGATTTCTCTCATTTTCTCATGGCTTAAGACTTAACACTTAATTTAACCCTATGGACAGCCTAACAAAAAAAATTCTGAATTCTGAATTTGCAACGCAAAATTACAAGATAGACTGTTCTCTTTCGCCAAATAGGGATAGTTAAGCTTGGGTCTATTTCTAATGTATCACACAATTTGAAAGTAAATTCAAGCTTCCTGAAGTAAATTAAATTGTTATATATTCTTTTTATGCGGGATTTCACTTTTACTATTGTGTAAGTTGTACTTCTGACATTGAATTATGAGCAACTGATTTGTTATTGGGCTCAGTGGAAGGGAGGTAACTCATACAGACCCTGTACTGTACAACTACGTTGTTGATGAACCAAATATTCCAGACGTAATTTTGTATATCTACTATGGTTAAAGCTGCTAAAATACAATTATGTACCTGATTTAAGGTCTAGTCCAAGGTCATTTTGCTATGTATCCATATAAACAGGTATTAAACCTGCATAAAATCTGGTACTATATAATATTGTTTAAGGCAATGATTTCCATCACATTCAGCTGGGAATCTTCTTTCATATCCTTACGATGTAATGAATCAACTATACCTGTTCTAAGAATCAATACCGAACTGTCGCATCATATATGATAAAGGAGTTGTTATCCATAAAGAATCTTACTTTCTTATTTCTCACCAACTTCTAAAATGCCAATCAAACAGATATAATTGTTATTACGGTCGCGAAGCAAGCATTTCATCTCCAGTCAAAATTGCTTCTTCATTTTCTGTCCATGAAAACAACTAAAAAGTCAGTAAGTATTTTTTTGAATGCAGGAAACATTCAATTTCCTGGCGCTAGACTTAGGAAACTGAAACGGACACATTGACAGAAGAAAAAATTTTTTATTAAAAAATAATCATAAAATATGATGAAAAGGAGCGCAGAGACTTTCTTCATTTTCAGAAACTGTGAAATCTAATCTTGCCACATATTCTAGACTTGGATATATCTGTTTCTGGGTCTGTATGACAGACTACTTCTTGCACATGTGATTCGTATCACCTTGCACTTATCCAATGTTTCGTCACAACATGGCTGAGATATTGCCGATGTGACGTTAAATATCAACTCACTCACTCACTTATCCAATGTCTGTGCTATATTTCAGTACCTCAACAGAACGGTGATCGTAATCACAACACTGTTCAGGACCCTGCAGCATACTCCCCGTATCGACCCAAGTTAAAAAACTAACGGACACTTTACCACTTTTATGCAAACCCGTCATGATGGACATGTTCCCATGGTTACGGATAATACTACACAAACTACACCAAAGACTGGTGCCCCTCCAATAAAACCGAAAAGTAAGTGGATTTATTTTTTGTTGTTGCCAGGAGCAAACTCACAGATGACATTCTGCTGCTGTTGTTGTTGTTGTTGTATCGAATGTATTGATGTCTTTTGTCCTGTGGCCGCCATCGTGGTCCGATGGATTCAGACAGCCCTGAGAGTGGAAAATCTGTGGTTTGATCTCATGCCACTTTATTCAAACAGTGGGAGGTGGGGTAGCCCAGTGTTTGCTTGTCATGCTTGTCGGGTTGGATTCCCCACATGCATGCAACGTGTGAAGCCCATTTCTAGTGTCCCCTACCGTGATATTGCTGGAATATTGCTAAAACATAAAACTGAACTCACTCACTCATTCAAACAGTGTTAAAAGATGGAACTTGTTATCCTGCCTGACCTGTCTGTGTTCCGTGTCTGAGTCAGGTGTTCATGTTAAACTTGGCTAAACATCCCAGACAGTATAGCATGGGGAAGTTCATATAGTCCACCAGTGCCTGCTGCTGTAGTGCAACGACCTTGACCCCGACATAAACACCGATTTCACCTCTCTTGAACGACAGAATTGTATTGTGAAACTGTAGCCCAGTGGACAATTAGTCGAAAACATCTCTTTGAAGGGATGTGGGATATTGTTTCAGATTTTAATAACGAAAAGTTTTGTTGGTTTTCGGGGAGAAATGCATTGTACATGAATTATGTAGTCATCTTTAAGTTTGGCTAGGCTGAGTTGATGATAATGCTTTAGAAATCTTATAAACTGAGATCTGACAGTTGTGGTTGTTATTGTCGATTATCGGCAGTATTTGAAAAACTAACATTTTGATTATATATTATTTCTTTAATTTTAAATTTTTAAATTCAGGACCCATATGACAAGTCAAACAAAATATAAGCGCTTGGATTCATCATCTCTGATAAGAGTCTATGATTCTCCTTTAACACAAGACTATTTTGATTATCAGACAGGAAATGCCATAGTTTGGTTGAGCAGGTTACAAATTGAGATAAATTAAGATCTCACTTTCTCCAAAGTGACTCATCTGTTATGTTGTCAAGAATACATTTTTCATGGAATGTTGGAACCAAATTCTTCATTTTTCTTTGCAACGTTGAAAGCATCAATGGAATGCCTGCAGCAACACAGGGGGCACTTTTATTATTGTACACAATGGTATATGGGTGTTTTGGGGGTCTGTTTTCAATCACTGGTTCCTGTGATAGATAATTAGGAAACCCCCTGCCTGTGTCGTTAATCTAATGGCTATATATTGTATTGCCTATGTTCGGAGAGTCTATACGGAACGTATGTCACAGCAACTGTTATTATCCCATGCAGACAGACATTACTATAATCATTGTCAGTGATACTGCTGGAGATTATGGCAAGAATAGGACCCACCGGCGAATGTTGTAAGGGGTCGGGGATTATTGTCAGGGATATGATGTTGACAGTGCTTTAAAACATGCAATTCTTTTGTTGAAAGGGGAAGTTATTTTCCAATATAGCAGCACATGTGGTTCGAGTGAGTGAGTGAGTGAGTGCCAGGCAGGATAGTGACAAATAACATCTTTTAACCCTCTTTGAATGAGCGAGTTCAGCGTTACACTGCTTTTAGCGATATTCCAGCAATATCCCAGCGGGGGACACCAGAAATGGGCTTCACACATTGACATGTTGTTTGAATACATGTACGGAACAATTTTGGTGGGAGGTCATTTAGAACCTTTTTCTGTGTTGTTTAACGGATTTAAAATCTGACAAAATTATGGTCACATGGAAAAAATTGTTTTGATGACTGAACCAAATCTAGCTTCTCACAAATGGTTAAGGTCACAAACTATATATATGCTTATTATGTTCATGCAGTTAGCTATTTTTAACAGTTCAAAATTTTTGAACAGTTTTGTAAATCTTGAATTTCACCAAGAGGAAACAGAGAATATCCCTTCTAGTTTTAATGCAAATAGTGGATTGGTGTGAATTGTCACCCATAATATCAACCACCAGTTTGCATGACCAAGATTTGAATATTTACAGGCTATCATTAGGTGGCTGAAATTATTGGACTCCAGCCTTTAATGTTCCCTCTCTACTTCATGTCAATGTACTCCGTCAGCCAAATTCTTCAACACACAAAGCTGTCAGTGAAGAAGCCAAGTTTGAGATATCTATAGCTTGAGGCCATGGTAGATTAATGACTGAGTTATTTATCAGGAATTTCTAATGACTTTGTGTCAGTTTCTTTTAATTAACCAAAGTTAATGATTTGTAACATCAGGAAACCATCTCAGTTGTTGTTTTCTCTGTCCCGACATGGTGTATAAACAGTCCCACCTTATAGCACACATGATTCTCTGTAATGAACAGACCCACCACATCACAATCCTATCTACCAGATAGGGTTCCATTCATCTTCATCCAGAGTTATCTCCCCATGAAAACAAAGATAGTATTTTCTCTCATTTCACCATCTGGGAAATGTCACTCAAATACCTCCAGAACAGAGAAATAAAGATAACCAACTTGACAACTGTGTATTTAAAGATAAACGTACACTACACACACTGTTTTTTATTGCCTGTGTTGGAATTAAATCTTCAGCTTTGTGTAACTGCAACAATTCAGCACAACATAGACTAACAACTAGTCTCTCAAATGAACATATTATACTGAAAAAAAAGTTCATAGCAAAAAATATATATATATATAATGAAAAGGAGCCCTCAGACTTTCATCATTTTCCTGAAGCTTGGGAAATCTAGACTTGCCACATTTTCTAGACTTTGCGTGGGCACTCTTGGATATATTTGCTTCAGGGTCTGTACGAGAGACTAAACACAACACTATGTTGCTTTGTTGCAGAAGTAGAATACAGAATAGGAATATTGAACTAACTGAGGGAAGCATTTCTAAAATCCTTTTTAGCAGAGAAGTATTTTGAGAGATGTTTCCAACATATAGCTGACAGGAGTTCCTTCAGTAACAATCTTTGGAATGGACAAAGCACGAGAAAACTATCTTGACAGACGGCTTTTGGTGCGTCATGTTAGTCTTCAAGACACAAATAGCCCAAGCTGATAATCTACGACCAACTTCTTTACTTCTGAGTTCCACATTCCTGTATACAACGGTGCTCAGGTATCTGTTTTCTGTGAATATACTTGTCTGGTTTTCTTCTACAAACCAGAATCCGGCAACAAACACAACGATGTTTTCAGTCGTTATTCAAGGAACAATTTTGAAAATGCTGGTAAATGACCATCTGGAGTGAGATTTCCATATCACAGTATTTCGAAATACCAATTGTGAAAGACAGCGCTCAGTGGTGAATTTGATGCAAAACCGAAAGTGAAATTGAGGAAGGTTTAATGAAAGGCGGAAAGCGATGAGAGAAGGAAGAATGTGTTTGAAGAAATATTTGAATAAATTAAGGGGAAGTGAATCCGTCCACCAGAAGTTATATAATTTTCGATGTTATTTATAGACAAAATAATTCTCCCCGTTATAACATCGTCCTTAACAATGAGACATGCACTCAAGCATCCTATAGAAAGAACACTTGTGTCGAGCAAGTAATTTTGTTATGTGAAAACTGCAAATACATAAGGTGTTTTCCATTAACTTTTATGCTATTTACATATAGAATTAATCCTTTTCACATTCCAAAGAAAATTTGCTTATGTTTTGAAAATTGCATTCGAAAATCAATTACAGTACGACCATGTTCTATTTTCATGGAATATTAACATTTGCTGGGATTGGAATTAGAAAGTTTGTATGTCGTGTTTTGCTGTGCTTAAGAAAAGAAAAGTTACCACAGTACTTATTTCTGAAATAGCTTTCTTATTATTTGTTTTCTCAGAGGATTTAAATCCATTAGTGGATGTGCAGTGCGTCAGGTAGACAGTCAAGGTACAGATGGACATGAGTCATGCTTTGTGGAAAAGAGGGGGGCTAAAAGCAGGCTTTTGTTGTGTTTAACCAGTTGTACAGACAATAGTTTTTTGATAGAATTTCAGGTCAAATCTTTATCAGACGCTAGGACAATAAGAAGACTGTTGGATAAAGACTTGTCAGCTTGACATTTATAGAATTAACTCACTTGACAGCTGACAGGTTTAGTTTGGAGAATTTATTTAAATGAAAGCATATAAAAATTCAGACAAAATGGTGTACCTTGACTAATGCCACACTTTTTACTGACATAATTTTACCAAAGAATTAGCTTTATGATCTGAAACTTCAAAATAAAACAGGATTAAATCTTTGTATCTGAATATTGTATTTTATTCACAATTATAAATGCATAGTTAGATATCAATGTTAAATCTGTTGATAATTTGGGATGCTGACTATCAACACTGTAACAGGGTGAGTGAGTGAATGCACTTCTTGAAGCCCATTCTTGGAATCATGACCGATAATGGCTAAAAGTTGACTTGCACAAGTCTCCACGGAATTGATATTATTAATAAACAACAGACAAACAAAAAACAACTGGCAATCTTACTGTTCTCTTATAAAGACTTGTCTATTATAGGATAGAATTACTACTCTGACATGTACAATACAGACTTGAGTGAGTGAGTGAGTTCAGTTATACACCACCTTTAGCAACATTCCAGCAATATCACAGCGGGGGACACCAGCAATGGGCTTCACACATTGTACCCATGTGGGGAATCGAACCCAGGTCTTCGGTGTGATGAGCGAACACTTATACCACTAGGCTACCCTCTGCCCCTGCACTGTAACTGGTATTTGAAGAGAATAATTTTTTCGTTATATTTGCAACGGCGATGACTATGCACTGATTAAAAATTATTCACATTTTGTATTTGGGGTGAAATTGTGTAGTTTTTGTATAAGAACTATGAGATGTTAATTGTTTGGTCGGCATTCTAGAAGTTAGTCAAACATGAAGCATACAACTTTATGGATGACAACTTCTTGATTATTGCATACAGCGATGTATCGATGTAGATTCTTACACCGTTATCAAGCTAAACGCGACTA